AATAATAACTTAAAGAAATTAATCCTTAGCTATATAAACCTGTTTTATTAACAAATTATCCAGTGTCAGGCATTCCTCTATAGCAATATGGAAGGAAATAAGAAAATACATGTCATAGTTTCTTCTTTCTTGGAATGTTATATTGTTTTGCTTAAAACTGAACATTCTGTATAATACAGTTACTCTGAATTCTGTTCTGTTCCTGGAGATTGTTGTTGTTTCTGTTGTTGATAATTGTTGTTTCTACTCTGTTGTTTTGTTTTCATGTGTTTAACTCAGTGAAATACCAGAAGTAATTCTATGGAATCTGTTTCCTAAGCAGTATGTGCACATTCATATATCCACTCATTTATTTTTGAAGGCCAAAAGATTTATTCAGTTTGAATTTTAGGTTCTCACTACTATTACTCTTATTATTTTATTTTATTTATTCATTTTTAAATTTCAGAATATTACAATGGTACAAATGCTTTGATCACATAACATGCCTTTGCAACTCCCATGTCAAAGTTATAAGCAGGCACAACACACTGCACTCATTAGGTGTATGTAAATTTACCCATTCCCTCCTCCCATCCCCTACTAGTACAATACCCAGTGAATGTTACCTTGATATGTGCACATAGTGTTGTTTGATTAGTGCCAATTTAGTGGTGAGTGTATGTGATGTTAGTTTTTCAATTCTTGTGAAACTTGATTTAGAAGAATGCCCTCCATCCAGGATAGTGCAATAGGTAGTTTGTCATTATTTTATGGCTGAGTAGTATACAATGGCATGTGTACTACTCATGGCCAACATATATCATGTTTTATTAACCCAGTAATGTATTGATAGACACTTGGATTGTTTCCATACCTTTACAATTGTCAATTTTTTGTTGCTATAAACATTTGAGTGAAGATGTCTTTTATTATAGAATGCCTTTTTTTCCTTTTGGTAAATACCAGTAGTGAGATGACTGGATCGAAAGGTCGTTCTACTGTTAGTTCTTTGAGGTATCTCCATACAACTTTCTATAGAGGGTGTACTAGTTTTCAGTCCCATTCCTTTTTATTTAAATCTGGGCCATCAAAGCATAGTGGTCATTCAGTTATAGGTCAGAAGTGGTACTGAAACACTGGAAACTGATAAACCTTTCACCTTTCACCATATAAGGCTGATAAAAAAAGTTAAAAGTTAAAACCAATAAATTTTAATTGCTTTCCTCAAGTTATTTATTTTAGTTAGTGATTGACAATTATTTCTCTATAACCATTAATACACTTGGTCTTAAGGAAATGAGTATTTTTTTTTTTAATTTAGAAATCACTATGAGAAAAAGGCATTCTGGTCAGTTATAGGTCAAATTTCTTTCAGAGTAAAATCTAATTTTCTTAGCATTAAAGATTCCCCCTATAAAGGAGATTCACACCCTTTCTTCCATAAATTTCTATTTAGTAAATGGCAACAATGGGCAAGATGAAACCATGAAATCCAAAGCTACTAAGGTCAGAAATACAAGCTAGCTTTGCTTACTTTGGTGTCTACAGAATAGAGGTGAGGGTGGGTGTGTGGGGATGGGTCTATGTTGTAATGTAAATCACGTAATGTGCTCCGTGTTAAGTCAGCAGGTACAAAAGAGTCATAAGTTATCTTAGCAGATGGCAAGACATACATGTTATTCAAGAAGCAATAATAATGGACAAGAAGTGGCAATTAAAGTCAATAACCTAAGTGAGTAGAGAGTTTGGGTAGTGCCTGAAACACTTATCTGTTATGGTCATTCCATTTGTTAGACACACTGCCTGGTTGTGGTGGAACACATAACAAAGATGTCACAAAACAATACCTGAAGAAGCAACCTCAGAATCCTGCTCTACCTGTGTGATATAGTGATATGAAGGCCATATGAACATTTGCCCAATTGAGTGGCTATGATGGCAGATACATTTTTCATTTGGTGTAATAGAATTTAAAAAAATGTCTAATCTCCCAGAGTAAATCTATCTATTACGGGCATATATGGCATTCATTTGTAATCTTCTCACTGCATTCTCAATTCTGTCTCCAAAGAAATGACATGAAAATTAGAAGGCCCCCACTAGCTGTGCTTCTCTAAGTACAAGCTAGTCAATTGATTTTAACCATGACCTACCAACATAAGGGAGTCGTAAGTAGGACAGTAAGCAGATAGTTGTTTCAGAACATTCATCCTGACTTTCAGAAGCTATTCCAAAGCAGCCATGTTGTATGTGACAGCGCTGCTTTGAAAAATTTCCACCATTTGAGCCAAGATTATTTTTCCTAGTAAATAAATGAGGCTTTTTTTAGTGGTCAACTGTGAGAGCTGCATGTCAGCAACAGTTTAACCCTCCCCTTGAGTGAACTGTTGATTTTAGCAGCCCTGCTAACTGGTCACTCATTAGGCTGTGAGCTAGGCTGATGCCTCTGCACTCTAGCTCGGGCACCAGAGTGAGACTCTGTCTCAAATAAATAAATAAACAATAATAATAATTAATCATTTGACTCCATTTAAACTAATGAATTAAGCACATGTATTTTATTTTATTTTATGTTATTTAGGATATCATGGGGGTACAAACACTTTGGTTACATGAAATACATTTGCCTCCCTCAAGACAAGGCTACAAGGGTGTCCTTCCCACATATAGTATGCCCTGTCTCCATTAGCTGTGGGTTTACCCAACTCACCTGCTCCACCCCCCAGCTGCGACTCCCTCTACTTGACCATCACCCAGTGAGTATTTCTACTATGTGAACACCTTATTGTTGCTCAGTTAGTACCAGTTTGATGGTGAGTACACGTAGTACAAGTTTTTCCATCTTTGTGATACCTCATTTCCAAGGATGGGCTCAAACTCTATCCAGGATAACATGAAAGGTGCTAGATCACCATTGTGTTTTGTAGTTGAGTAGTATTCCATCGTATACATATACCACATTTTAGTAATCCACTCATATATTGATGAGGACTTGGGTTATTTCCACATCTTTGCAATTGTAAATTGAGCTACTATAAACATTTGAGTGCAGATGTCCTTTTTATGCAATGTCTTTTTTACCTTTGGACAGATGCCTGGTAGTGGGATTGCTGGATCAAATGGTATTTCTATGTTTAGCTCTTTGAGGTATATCCAAATTACCCTCCTTAGGAGTTGTACTAATTTCCAGTCCCATGAGCAGTGTACGAGTGTTCCAATCTCTCCACATCCAGGCCAGCATTTGTTATTTTGGGACTTTTTGATAGAGATGATTCAAAATATATGTTCTGTTCAGGGTTCAGCCCCCCAAGTGTGGTGGAAGAACCCTGAGCAGCACATATATTTTAAAATGCACTCTGACCGTATCCTCTAACTTTAACCAATACTCTGTAATCGATGACTTGTAGAATGGAATTGGTTGTTGATTGGAATTCCAAATGGTAGTCATGGAACCTCTGTTAGGGATTTAGAAATGTCTTGCACATTACATAAAATTTTTGTCCCTTTCTATAAGTACCATCATGATGAACTCATGCTCTTCAAATCAGGTTTACTTTTCTAGATGATTGTAATTATTTTCTGCCTTCTCATGCTCAAATAGTCACTCCTAGATCACTAGCCAACCTTGTTATGATCTTTTGTCCCTTTAGCATTTCTCCAAAATCACTGAAAGTACTTTTCCTTTCTGATATGGTAAAGGTCTCCCAGCTTCATCATCATTGTTCCGATCCCAAGGCATGTATTTGGATATTCTTCATGGAATTCTACTTCTTTCTAGTAGAAATTAATAGTAGATCCCAAATCCTAATAGAGGATCTAATGGATTTGTCTAATAGAGATGACTTATGCTGTTTTTCTTTAACACCTGGGGATAGCAAGAAGGCTCCTAAAGTAACTGGTGAAAGAACAGGTCTCTGTCTCTCTGCTGACCTCCTTCCCACCTCCCTACCAGTTTGTTGCTTTGGCAGGAAACACATGGTGCCAACTAATCTTTAACTTTGATAAATCTCATTTTAGAAGAGAAGCTACAAACTAAGATTTACACTTAGAGTGTTTCCTTCAAAGTCTATTTTTAAAATTATTTATTTCCTTTTCTGTTGGAATGACTCTTTATTGAAGCTACATGGAATTGCTTTCAAATTGTGCATTTCTTATGCTTTTCTTGATTTTAATCCCACAATTAGCAAGTTGGAAAGAAGAAAAAAAGATGAGCTTCTTATGAACGAACTCCCAAATTAAAAAAATTTCAGAGTTTGCAATATTAAGATAATAAAATAATGAAAGGTAAAATATATACATAGATGGTGACTAACAAGATTTGGTTTAAAATGTTTCCTCTACCACTTTTGATGTTGACCCACTATTTGAATGTTTTCTTTCATGTTCTTACATTTTTCATCTTCAATTTCCCAAGCTTCCTTGAATATATTCATATCTGTGACTTCCTAGTTTTATTATCCCTATTGTTCTAAATAAGTTATAAGTAAAGACATAGTAAAAAATTGTCAGAAAATATAAGGACCTAACTCCAAAAAATATTCAAGGAAAAGCTTATATAAAATTGCTAAAACCTAAGGCCCATATTCAATCACACCAAAAAAAAAAAAAAAGACACAGATGATAAAGGATTTTTTGATTAGTCTAACAGACAAACGTTTCTCACACCTGTTTAAATCAAATGAATATATTTGTTTATAGTGGAATATACCAAACATCTGATAACCTCATTTTTTAAAATTCTTACAATAATTACTTTCAGCTCTCCTCCCTGTAGCTACCTGAGTGCAGCATACACACAAAAACAATGACCTACCCCTTGAACAGCAGGCCCCTGGGCATTGGAGCAAGTGAGAAACATCCAGCATTGGTTTTTAGTGCTAGAATGTGATATATGTTTATGGGGAAAATAAAGAATCAATTTGTTTTTGAATCTATGACTGAAAGGCAATAATTCTGATGGAAAGGAGATACATAATTCATCTAAATATTATTCAAAGAATGTTATATGTTTTTTGCAGGTACTGCATTATGGAAGATTTAGAAAGAGATTTATTGAAATTTAAAGGATTTTATTTTCAGCATAAAGCATTTGATACTGGCTTTTTAGAAAATTTAGATGATTTTGAAATTAGAGATGATGATGTCTTCATAGTCACATACCCCAAATCTGGTAAGTTCAGTATTCCAATAGCTAATCTAAGATATAAAATAGAAATACTTCTATAATATGAGAAGTTAGTTTTTTCACTAGCATTACATATGGCCAGATAGCGTTAATCCTTTGGACATACAAAACTCATTATTCAATATCTGTGAAATAAGGTTTTTTACCATGACGAAGAAGTTATTTCGGATTTGGCATTGGAATGAGAGAAATTTTAAAAGTGTTAGACTTAAGATAACATCAAACACTGAATGCTGAGGTGGGATGAGAAAGAATATTTAGCATTTAGTCAGGTAGTGGGATATATTGAAGAGCATAAGAAGGAGAATGTTAACATACTAAGTATTATATTACAGAATAATTCCTAATCATTTTTAATTATCTCCAGGTCATAGAATTGTGTGTTTCATTAAAGCAGTGTACTAAATAGGAATTCAGTGAGGGAAACTCTAAAGGGTTGTCTCTCTCCTTGCCATTGCCTGCTGTATTTTTACTTCCTGCCAAAGCATATGCTACAGGGCCTGGTGCCTCCATGCTTTCCTTGAGCCTGCTTTTCCTGCTGGTGACCCAACATGACTAAAGCCTGATTTCAATTCCATTTTCTACTCTCTTTAGCGTCTCTCAGGTGGCCCAGTTTTATGTCATGTGTTGTACTCTGCAGAGACATTCTGTCTGCACTAACCCCTGCCTCTCGATGAGTATGACAGCTCACCACAGTAGTCCAATTCCAATGCCGTAGCTTCCTGGTCACTTTGAAAGAGGTGCTCAAATGGTGACACCTTCAACTTTTTAACAATAAGGTATCTGAACCATAGAAACCTATCACCATTTACATGATCACATATATTGCAAATAGTCTTTGCATATGCAAAACAATAATTCTTAACAAAAAAGAGTCATGTGCTTTGAGAGGCATTTAAGTGTTCAAATAAATGAACAGGGCATATTTCTATATTATAAGATTTTACAGCAATAGAATACAAGATGTGAGTACTTAAAAATATTTATGATGCTTTAGCTGACTTTGATCCAACACAGCTGCTCTAGGGAATCTCTAAAAGCATGTTGCTGCCTCAGGCACTTAGCACACCCTGTTACTCTTCCGGAAAAGCTCTTCCCTTAGACATCTGTATGGATTATTTCCTCCTCTCCTTTGCTTCCTTATTTTAATATTACTGTATCAGTGAAACCATTCTGAATGGCCATAACTAAAAATGCGGCCTCACCAGAAAAGTATTCCAATGTATTTGCTGATTAATTTTCCCTTCACAAAATAATATTCATGGCCTTATCATGTATGACATATTTTGTACATTTAATCTTTACATTATGTACAAAGCTAGGAAAACCAGAAGGCATTTATAGAAGAATATATGCATCTTATCATATATATAAATATATTATTTGTATCTAATAGGACTCTATATCATATATGTTATATATATTAGCAATATATACGTATGGGACTTGGTTCACATAATTATGAAGTATAAGAATATGTCCTTAGGAAGCAGGAGACCCAGGAGAGTCGGTGTTGTAATTCAGACTAAGTCTAAGGGCCTCAGAGCCAGGGAAACAACGGTGTAACTCCCAGGATGAGGACAAAGCCCTGGGAATCAGGGGGTTTACTGATGCAAGTCTCAGGGTTCAGAAGCCCAAAAACATGGAGCTCCAATGTCCAAGGGTCAGAGAAGCTGATGTCCCAGGTCAGGGAGAGAAAGAATTAGCCCTCCCTCCATTTTTCTGTTCTATTTGGTGTCTCAATGGATTGCAGGATTCCTGGCTGCATTGGTGAGGGAGGTTGTTTGTATCCTACTCATTCAAACCCTAATCTGTTCCTGAAACACCCACACTGAGACATCCAGACGTAATGTTTTACAGGCAATCTAAGCATCTGTTAGCACACTCAAGTTACATATAATATTAACCATCACATAGACTAACAAGAATTAGAAAGGTCAATATGTCAAGTGTGGAGAGGTGGGAATCAGGGGGTTTACTGATGCAAGTCCCAGGGTTCAAAAGCCCAAAAACATGGAGCTCCAATGTCCAAGGGTCAGAGAAGCTGATGTCCCAGGTCAGAAAGAGAAAGAATTAGCCCTCCTTCCATTTTTCTGTTCTATTTGGTGTCTCAATGGATTGCAGGATTCCTGGCTGCATTGGTGAGGGAGGTTGTTTGTATCCTACTCATTCAAACCCTAATCTGTTCCTGAAACACCCACACTGAGACATCCAGACGTAATGTTTTACAGGCAATCTAAGCATCTGTTAGCACACTCAAGTTACATATAATATTAACCATCACATAGACTAACAAGAATTAGAAAGGTCAATATGTCAAGTGTGGAGAGGGAGTGGATTAAGATCTACATGCATTGGCGTATTACCCATGGGAGAGGAGACTGAAGCAGCCATTTTCTGAAGATCAATCTGTCATTACCTGAACATATTACGTACGGACACACTAAGTGTCACAGAAAAAATATGAAGATTCATAACTTTGGAGAGGAGAACTTTATTTTTTGTGGAGAGTCAGAAGCTCCAGGGAGGAAGCTCAGCCTCTGGTTGAAATCAGAAAACAAGCACTTTGAAGGAGGGAAGCATGAGACAGAACTTATGCTGAACAGAGTGGACAAGAATACCTGTTCAATAGATTTTAGAGGCAGTTATGAATATTCTCCAAGGGGAGATGCACACATGTACAATAAGCAAACATGCATGTCACATACATTTCATGTTCACTTTGGGGCTGGATACAACATTTAACTGCATTCCAGTTAGGCCCTATGCATTGAAAGGTAAAGCAAGGACACAAAGGCACTCAGTAATCAGCCTCTATAAACTGGCCAGAACTGCTCCATGGGGGTGGTCTCTAGTCAGGAGAAAGTTACTGAAATCAGTATCTTGTCCAATCAAAGGTACAGTTGTGGCATGTGGAATAGTGGTTCAGTTAGTCAGCATATGGCAGTCAGTGAGCAACAGTTCTGTCAGTATTGCTTATCACCAGGCCAGTGTGTGTTTAGCTGCTAGAAAAAAGAAACACCTTGTGGCACCTCAAACCTAGTTCATACTTTAAATGTAGGGGTGCATGATGGAACCCTTGCCTGGAATGGCCTTTGGTCTAGTTTATAATTTGGTATCTTTTTACAAGAAAAGATCCATTCCATCAGCCTTATGATGTCATTTTCAACACAAACAATTGCTCTCCTGAATAGTTATCCTAGAGAATTTCTTAAACAGGTCAATGCAAAGGAACAAAATGAGGATGTGCATTGCTAAGCTGCTTCAGCTGTGAAGTCCCTGACTGAGAAGGTGGATAGGTAAAACCCAGGGGTGCGCGATATGAAGTAGGAGGCAGCAGCTGATAGGGGCAGTAGATCAGAGGTGGCGCATAATGGGCCTTAAAATCATAGAGATCAGTGAAAAAAACATAAGAAATAAGATGATCCAATTAAGTTGAAAATTTAAGAACTCACAACAATACACATTTCAAAAGAATCCACGCAAGCAAACAGATGCACTTTAAAACCAATTGACTGGTTGCAAGGTAGGCATAGATGTAGCATTTGAGGTAGGAAATGGGGAAAAAGGAGATACAAGCAGATAAATGAGGGACTGAAATGAATCAGTGATGTTAATATGTCAGGAAGTGCAGGGAAAGATAACGATCTCTTTACTCAACATTTGAAATCCTAACAGGGTAAAAACAAAAAAATGTAGAAAAAGAGGGAGGGAGAGGGGGAAGGGAAGTGGAAACAGAAGAGGAAGGAGCAGGAGAGGAGGGAGAAGAAATGCAGCTTCTTTTGCATGGGGAACACACTCTTCCAGTTCTCCTGGTCTTCAATATCTACAGACCTATGGCCACCTCTAGACACCATTGACAACCCCTACCCTACTTGTGCTGGTGGCCTTGAAGCTGTGATATGTGCTCTAGAAGCAGTATGTGTTACCTGGGAAATAAGGAAGGATGTAAGAAACTCTGCAGAGTTTCATATCAATGAATTTTCACTGGAAGATCTGGTCCAGCTATGACAGCAAGTAGGCACATGTGGTCACAGTCTTCCCTGGCAACACTGAAGACTACAGCCACCAATATTTAGGTAGTAAGAGGAACAGGTAAGGTGCATCTCACCTGTACCTGCCATCAAGGGATGTGTGCTCAACAATGATATTACTCACCAGGGGTGAATGCATAGTCTTTAGAAACAAAGGCTAGGATGGGAATTGTTAAGATGCAATAGGTTTTCTCCTAGCAGAAATCTGATAAATATCCAACTGGGACTTGTAACATTTTGGGGGAGTAAATCAATACTTTCAACACATTTTGACTGAAAATTGCTATAAATATACAAGGAATGATTTAAATCTTAGTCCCAAATATTAAGCGTATAGAAGAGGTATAAGAAATCTAAATGTCCACTCTAATTGGAATTAATCTAAATGCTTTTCTAAAATTCCACTTAAAAGTCAATGGTCAAACTTCGGTTATTAACTTTTCATTTCTGTCAACATATTGGTGTCAAAAGTCCTTTGTAGGTACTTAAACACTATTTTCTTAAGCAGCAATCATTAGTGAAACATGGAGAAAGTGGGAAAGTTTCAAGGTTACTTCTTCACTGCAATTCCTTTTTTCTGTGAGTATATTAGCTAATGCTCTAAAAATGAGGTTCAGGACAGAACTCTAAAGATAAGCACAGAAAACATGGGTTTAGATGGCAAGGAAATGTTACGCTTTACAAAAGTAAATATTTGGCACTGTGTGGTCACTGTTACATTGCCATAGAGAAATTCTCTGACCTGCCTTGCTTGACTGTGGGTCATAAGACTCTCAGTTCTAAGGCGGTCCTGCCCACATTAGGTAGGAAAGAATGTTACACAGAAGAACAAGAAGAATCTGGACAGATTTTGCTGTGTTTCCCTAATCATTTTTTAACATAACATCATTATCTTTTTGCCCAGCCATACACAGTCTATACTCTGATAAACTTAAGCATAAAAATGGATAATTTCACCTCTACTTTCATTCTTCATCCTAAAAGATCTCATGCGGTCATGTTAAATAAATTGTTATGCCTTTTCTCCAGTTAATCTACATTTTAGAGTTGATTTTTTTAACAAAACAGTCAAGGTCCAAGGAGAAATTTCTGTATGTGTGATATGGCTAGATGATATGAAAGTCAAAATTGTGTGTATCTATAGGGGGGTGGGCTCATTGTCTGAAAGTAGCAAGAAGAAGGGAAGAAGAAAAATATCCACTCTGAGAATGAAAATATCCATCAATTGAGAGAGTGATAAGTGAAGCATTAATTTCAGAGGGAAGAGACACATTTGTTACAGAAAATTGGATAAGGACCAGTTTTCCGAAGGGGTTGAAGTTACAGAATACTTGGTTGATAAGTGACCATGGATTAAAGGGATTCAGGAGGTGGCAAAGTGTAGAATATAAAGTTAAGCTTAGCAAGAGAATGAAGTTCAGATTAAAAATTAATTGGTCATTATTTCTAAGGACAGTAATATAGCATTTCAGGAATTTGGAGCGATAGAATATATACTCAGCAAAATTGTGTCCAGAACTTGGTGGGGGACAATCGGGGTAGGGTTGAAATCCAAGGTCACTTGTGATGAACAATGTGCCTGGGACCAAGAGTATAAGAGGATTAGTCCTAAAGACTTTAAAGCAGAGAAAAGTCGGGCTGCTGTGAGAGTTGAAGACAGGGAGTGTGGGAGAATAGCCAGGATCACACAGGTATGCGACACCTTCTCAGAGCTTGATGCTGGGTATATGTTTGCCTGAAAAAGTTATTATTCTAAGAGTGTGCTGAAATGCCCTCTTGACCCTAGCTGGGAGAAGATTGGTTTTATCTCATTATGCTGGCTCTAATAATTTGAGGAAGACCTGCTAATGAATGATCAATTAAAATTCACAACTTTTAAGTGCTGTTATGTTAACATATGAGAGTGAAAAGATTGAACTCACCATTTTACTGAAGAAGCTAGAAAATAGAAAAGGAGAATGGCATTAAATATGATAAAAGCTGAAACTAATATTTTGAAAACAGAATAACAATAGAATTAACAATAAGTACAAATGTTCATCTCCTTTATGTTTTTCTGAAAAGATGAAAGGCCGAAGCTGGCAGGCTAAATAAAAGGGAAAACACAAGCAAGAAAGAGTAAGCCATAAGTACTACTGCATTTAAATAGGTGATTAAATGAAACTACTCTCTTCAATATCTGGCTGATAAAGTGTAAAATACTGGTGGCATTAACACTATTCCTGAGAAAATACAAATAAGAAATATTGAATTAAGGATAGAAAACAATGAGGAACTTTCAAAATACTATGGAGGATGTTAAAAGGACATTATAAAGAGTATTACTTTCCTAGGGCTACAAAAACTAAGTACCTCAAACTGGATGCCTAAAACAACAGAAGTTTATTTTTCTACCATACTGGAGGCTAGAATTCTGAAATCAGTCTTCTAGGGGAGAATATTGTCTTTCCTGAAAGTTTTGGTAGCCCAAAGCAGTCCTTAGCTTTAAGCCTCTTCACTGGAATTTCTCCAACAACTTTACTTAACATTCTCCCTCTTTGTCAGTCTTCACATGGGTTCTCTTTTCTGTGTGTGTCTCTGTCTATATCTTATCTCTTCTTGTAAGGACACTAGTTCATCCTGGGTTAAGGACCTAACCTACTCCACTATGAACATGTGCATGTGCTCACACTCTCTAAACACATTGTCCCCCTCACCCCTCACCGCTGCAGGACTTGCTATTCACAGCACAACTTGGACCAAACTCTCAGACCCTTAAATTTCTTCCACTCTGGATTATATTCTTCCTACTTTGTGCTCAAGGTAGTAGCCTTTCATATAAAACTAATACAAAATTAGAGTTTTATGCTAGGAGAGTCATGTGCAATTTTAATATCTTGCTAAATATCAGCTGTTGGAGCATTAAAGAAGGAATAAACCTAATGAACTCATGTTGGAGGTAATCCATGGTGTTGTTAAGAAAACAGTCAGACACTGCAGATTGTCTGGGCAAGGCAAAATCTTTACTCCTGATCAGAAGGGTGAATAGCAGCAGCCAAAGCACCCAGCCAGCAGTGTGCCCCAAGGAAGTTCTTCACTTTTTTATCTCTAATGCACACCTAGGGCTATGTGTCATCCCATCAGTAGGGACTTTGAATTCACAATCTTGCTCTTACCTGATTGGCTAAGGCACATTGTTGAGGTAAAACAGAGAACAAGAAAGTTAAAATTGCTAAACATGCTTATTTTTGTGTGTGTGTGTATTGCAATAAAGTAGATGAAAGCAAGGTTGTTGTTATTGTGGAGGTTTTGCTATGTGCTAATAATTATTTAGAGCTTGATATCAGACAGAGTATTTATGCCTTTGGCAGAAAAGATTAGGCCGAGGTCATCTCCTCCTACAATTTCCACCTCTCTTGTATTAGTATTTTTTACACTTTTCCTCAAATTAGGTAAGGAGGAGGTGACTTTGGTGTTCTTGTTTTTTTAATAGTAACAACTTGTTTTCATATGAAGGTGGAAAAGGTTGTTTAGTTAATGCTGTTTCTATTAATCTCTGGATTAGTCTCCTAACACAAGGGATAATGCAACAACCCACTAATATGAAGACACCAAATACAATAATTAAGGAAGTTAGAACTTATGTAATCAACCTCTTTCATTTTCTTTTTTTTTTTTCCAGGATATTATGGTGATACAAATATTTTGGTTACATGTTATGACTTTACCACACCCAAGCCATGAATTGGGGCATACCGTTGCCTCACTACAACTCTCACTGTGTTCATTAGTTGTGAGTTTACCTACTCCAAAACCCCAACCCTCATAAATATTGCTAGTGCGTGAGCACCTTAATGTTGATCAGTTAGTAACAACTTGATGGCAAGTACATGTGGTGCTTATTCTTCCATTCCTGTGATACCTCACTTCAGAGGATGGGCTCAAACTCTCTCCAGGAAAATATAAAAGGTGCTAGATCACCATCATTTTTTGTAATTGAGTAACATTCCATTGTATACATATACCATAGTTTATTAATCCACTCATGGATTAATGGGCACTTGGGTTTTCCACATCCTTGCAATAGTGAATTGTGCTGCCATAAACATTCAAGTGCAGATGTCTTTATTATGGAATGTCTTTTGTTCCTATGGGTGGATGCCTAATAGTGCTATTGCTGGATCCAATGGTATTTCTATTTTTACTTCTTTGAGGTGTCTCTGATTTCTTTTCCACAGAGGTTGTACTAATTTGCAGTCCCACCAGCAGTGTAAGAGTGTTCCTATCTCTCCCCATCCTCGCTAGCATTTGTTGGTTTGGGATTTTTTGATAAAGGCCAATGTCACTGGGATTAGGAGATATCTCAGTGTGGTTTCATTTGCATTTTCCTGAGGATCAGAGATGTTGAGCATTTTTTTACATGTTTGCTGGCCATTATTCTGTCTTCTTTTGAAAAGTTTCTGCTCATTTCCATTGCCCACTTATTGATGGGGTTGTTGGAATTTTTCTTGTTGATTTTTTTGAGCTCTAGATAGATTCCTGTTATCAGCCCTTTATCAGAGTGTAGAAAGCAAATATTTTCTCCCATTCTTTAGGCTGTCTATTTGCTCTAATGATAGTTTCTTTGGCTGTGCAACAGCTTTTAAATTTAATCAGGTCCCATTTCTTTATTTTGGTTACTGCTGTGATTGTTTTGGGGGTCTTCTTCATAAATTCTTTGCCTAGGCTGCTGCCTAAAGAGTCTCCCCTACATTTTCCTCTAGGATTCTTAAGGTTTCATGCCTTAGGTTTAAGTCTGCTATCCATCATGAATTGATTTTTGTAAGAGGTGGGTACCCAGTTTCAATCTTCTGTATATAGTTATCCAGTTTTTCCAGCACATTTATTGAAAAGAGATTCTTTTTCCCAGTGCATATTGGTCTCTGTTTTGTCAATGGTTACATGAAAATATGCGGATGGTTTCATGTGTGGATTCTCATGCCTTTTCCAAAGGTCTATATTTCTGTTCTTGTGCTAGTAGTATGCTATTCTAGTTACTATAGCCTTGTATTGCAGTGTGAAGTCTGGTAGACTAATACCTCTTAGTTTGGTGTTTTTGCATGAGATTGCTTTGGCTATATGATGTTTTTTCTGGTTCCATACAAAGCGTACAATTAGTTTTTCTAGATCTGTGAGGAATGATGATGGTACTATGATAGGAACTACATTAATTCTGTAGATCACTCGGGGTAGTATGGCCATTTTAGCAGTGTTGATTTTGCCAATCCATGAGCAAGGTAGAATTTTCCAAACCACTGCTCCATGACGCTAGTGAAATGGTCATCTACATTGGGGTTTTCAGTTACCTCATTAGACAAGGGAGTAAGTCCTCGCAGAGCTTTGGTGATTGCGCCTTCCAGAGCTGTGTTGTTGGGGATTTAAGTGCAGAACTGGCCTCCAATCTTGACACACACTGCACCTTTTTCTGTTAATATCAAGTCTAAAGCCATTCTATTTCCCTAGGTCATTTTATTGGTGGGCCCTAGTTGTTCAGCTATATCTTTGATGGCATCCCTGATATAATTTACAAATCTTTGTGGATTGTAGTATACATAGTTGATTCAGCCTACATTTTTATTTACATTGGACCACCAGAAGAATAAAAGTCAATATAGCCCTTATTTGATGTCTAGTTTTGAATTCATTTGGTACCCTTCTGGAGACTCTAATAGCATCAAGAAAAATATGAGAATCAAAAGATCCTCTCAGACTATCTGTTTCTCTTTTTTGACTAATATTCTCTCTCCTGAATTGGGAGATGATGTAATGCCAGAGTAAAGGGACCTCCAATTGTACCAAAGTTCAGACGCCACTCTAGGTTTTCAGTAGGATGTTAAATTGTTGGTCTTTCATTACCACCAGAGGTCTTCTCGGGATACGGAGAGAGTAGACTGATCCTGTAGCTTCTAGGAGGCCAGGCTTTCATTGCACCCTATTGTGGTTCTAAGAGTCACCACCCCTCCTACTGTCTAGAGAGACAGAAGGTAAAGTTGACATCAGAGGCTGGTAGCCTCATGGTCCTCTAAGGCTGAGCTGGAAAACTTCTCATGTCATGGAAAAGTAATCATAGGGTTTTACATGATTTATTTCCTCATGCCATGGTCTACTGGAGGAGAGCTACTATGCAGTGCATGCCCATAGGATCTACACATCATCCAAGTGTAAAGGAAACTATTTGGTCTTCAGGCTTCCTGTCGTGCAGGCATAACAATCACACTTATTTAGTGTTCAGACAGAATATTTGATCGATATTAAACAGGCTCTTTTATTTTTACACCCAGTTTCTATTGAAACTCTTTGCCTCAAATCATTGACTTTTATAATGGCTACCTTAGATGTGTCATTAGGGAAAGATAAAGGTATAGTGTTGTTGTGAGTTTATTTCTCTGACTTTATGTGTGATAGTTTATTTAGGTTAAATAGGTTATTAGTAAGATTACCTTTGATTTCTCCCTCTCCTTGGTAAAAAAAAATATATATATATTTAATGAATTTAAAATCTGGGGAATACAGGTGGAGGTCTCTTCTGTAGTTGCTTCCTGCTGGACATGGAGGTTGAGATGTCCCTACCTGAGCTGAGAGTTTATATGTGTCACAAAGGGGGAGGGGTTTCAATTCAGACAATTTTAAAATCGAGAGTAGAGGCAGGACAGGAATCACAAAATTGTAAAGGTTCTTTTCACCTCTTTTTTGTTTTTATTCCTATAGTTTCAAATGAGTAACTGGCTGCTCCCAGTTGGCCTTGAATTTATGATAACATGGTTCAGTGAGTTTTATTGCAATACCAGTAACTTATCAAATGTAGCTTTAGTAGGCAAAAGATACATAGAAAGTTTAACAAACTCTATATTTTAACTATATAGTGGCAGATTGATTGAATTTTGAACTTTTAATGTATTTTGTTCATTGGTTTAAACAGGTATGCAAGAACAGAAGTTCCAAGAAGCTTTATATATAAATCTATAAATTGAGAACAGAAAACTTTGATGGTTTAACCAGAGATTTATCATTCATGATAGCCAACTTAATGACATATAGAATCCTTTTGTAAATTCTCCTCCACGAACTGTATTTCCATTTGCACAGACTATCTTCGACATCCTTGGAGTTTCTGTTTTTGTTCCAGATTTTCTTTCTTAAACCACCAGAAATTTGTTAGGACAAAAATTTTCATACAAGTTTCCTTTCTATACAAAACTATTCTCTTTCTTCTAAATTTCCTTATCAAAAATACATTTTCATATCTTTAACTTTCTTTACATCTTTCTCTTTCCTACTCACTGGTTCCTTCTATCTTGTTTCTTACTCCTGCTAAAGTCATAGAGATAGGACTCCAGGTCTAGATAAAGCATAAAAGAAGGTTGTATGTAAATTCTCAGTTAAGTTTTTCCATGAGCCCAAGAGAGGAACCCTGTGATGTTAAAGGAGTTAGGTGCCTAACTGAACCATATATCTTTTTTCCAGTGTAGGGTAAGGCAATTGGGAAGCACAAAATGGATGTGCAAAAACTTTATCTCCCAGAGGGCAGAGAGACTATAGAATACACAAAGAGTTTGTATTTTATCTTTCACTCTCATGATAGAGATAGAGAGGTCATGAAAATTCAGGGAGAGTAGAGTAAGCAGGGCCAGTGTTTACTAAAGTCAATATGCTTACGGTGACAAAGGATGCCGGCTCAGGGGAGGACTTTCAGTTCTGGCCCCAAGCTCTGATCCCTGGGGCATTTTTCTTCAGGTACCCAGTTGGTTGTAGAGCAAGCAGGTTGTACTTCTCAGAGCAGGACGTGCTCCTAGTGTCTTCTTTCCTTAGCCTTCAGGGTATCTCTGTCTGTGAAAAACTCTTTTGTAGAGGCAGACACTGTTCTAAAAGCTTTTTTCTATGTTCAGGGCCGCTATCCGTCCCACTCTCTCTTTTTCCACTTGCCTCTTCCCATCCTTGCTATCAAAGACCTTGAAGGCCAGTTTAAACTTCCACTTGTGGATTCTGAGGCACCTGTGAGTAGATCAGGATCCATCTCCCCTGTGCTCACTTCTTTGACTCCTCCCTCCAAGAGATCAAATAAAGGCCTTACATTTTGAGAATATTCAGCACATGGGATTTTATGGTTAAAAAGGGAAAGTAGAGGGGAAACGGGGTCACCAGGGGGAGAGGGATTCTTTTTTTCCTCTTTTCCTGTTTCTTCATTGTCTCTCCCTTTAAGACAGAACAAAACAACACAGTCTCTTCTCTACCACTGGGCATAGTCAATTTCTTCCTGAGAGCAGGACTTTTGCTATTAACATATTCAATTAAAAGTTGGTAAACAAACCCAGTCTTTGTATCAACAAAATTTGGGCCAAGAGAAAGGAAGTTTAATGATGGGTTCTTGCGTCCCTATGAAACAACATTATTTTACCATCTATTAGTCCTAGCGGGCTATCAAGGGGAATTTTATCTTTACCTCTATTTTCTCTAGAGATTTTCTTACTTGTGTTATTTCCCATCCTGGTTTCCTGGGTGTATGTGTTTCCTAGTCTAGAGGTTCAACTGTCCCCACCCCAGAGGTTTCTGACATCTCAACTTCCACTTCATCCATCTCTAGCCACTCCCTATGTGGGAATTTAGGATCCTCTTAACATTTGGGTATCGACTAAGGTC